AAGCTTGGCCAGCCGCACGTCGTCAAGGGAGGAGCCTGGGTACTGCTCGGCTCGGCGCCGGAGCACCTCCCGGTGCTGCCGCTGCTGATGCCGCACCTGGGCCAGAAAGAAGTCCTCACTGTTGGCGTCACTCTGTCCTGGAAGAGGTGCCTTCATGAATTGGGCCGTGCCTGAGCGTGGTCCGACGGACCGCGGCACCGACAGGGGGTTGGCCCCCCGCAGACGCCCCGTGTCGTTCGGCGTATAAGAATGGCCTCCCTGGCCTGGTAAATTGAGTGCCCGGCTCAATGTCGTCCCAGATTCCATCGCGGCTGGCTGTCGGTGCATTCGACCGACTTTGCAGGCGTCTGAACGAGACCGACGCCCCTCTTTGGGTCCGGACTTGTGGTTTACTCGGAAGCCAGGTCGGGGGGTCAGGGATACAATTGTCGCTTCTTTTTCTGCGGCGCGCAGACGTTGAGCTTGCAGGGCCAAAATAATCTCCAGGTCCTCTTGAATATTATTTAAGCTGCAGGTACTACCGTTTGTATCACACGAAGATACATTCTCTGGCAGCACACAGGTTGCTGTCGCCGGGTCTTTGCCGTAACCCGAATTTGGTTGACTTGCTAATTCTAAATATCCGGATTTGCTATTGGTATTGTCAGCTTGATTTAGGGACAAGGAAGAACATGGAGCAATACCATGAGCACCTTCTCGTGTGTGTTTTTGCTTATAATGGTTTACCCACTTTTTTCTGGATGTTTGCTGGCTTCCTTCTCCAGAAAGAATTTGGCTATTTGTTTGGGCTAAGTTGACTTTTTCCTTCACACACTGCTTTCGCTGTCCACCAGGAAGCATCCGAGACTTCGATGTGGCGAAGCCATAAGTCTGTCTAGTTTTACAATTCCCGTGACCACCTGATTTGCCATGACTTTGAACAACATCAGAGATAGCACCACTATCATTAACATCATTGTTCAAATCATTCCTATTCGACCGTGTGAGAAAATTGGGAGAAAATAGCGCCCCATGCACGCGGCGCTCGCTAAAGGCGTCTTGCATAGTTCTTTTCTCAATATGTCTCGCTCAGTGAACAAGTTCTTATATATATATATATATATATAGAAATCTCTTCTCTACCAATCGAGTTGTCAGCTTAATTTTGGTAGAGATATAGGTATTAGAAATGTGTTATGTCAGTTTTTAAAGGTTCGTTGAGGAGGATAAGCCCTTATATATCGGACGTGTTCGGTCAGAAAGGATTAATATTAAAAAAAAAATAGAGCTGGTAAAGGTACAAATATATCGTTTTCTATGTTTATAACGATAGATACAGTGGTATTTTAAAAATGTATAAACTACCAAATATCAAAATGTACACCTACGAAATACACCTTTTATTTTTTCTGTTTATGTCTATGTAGTAAACTATACTAGACATACACTGTGATCTAGAATATATACTCCTTTTTATATAAATATTAGGGAGAATTGAAAAGCAGAAATCAGGATCCCGACCAGCTAGTAAAGCCAACTGCTCTATATTTAAGGCCTTAAAATGTTTATTCCGATTCTCTCTAGGCAGAGAGACGGAAGGAGGGGATCAGAAAGCTAAAAAAAAATTGAAAATAAAAATGAAAGTTAAAGAAAAGATAATGAAATCCAGAGTTGAGCACTGTGACAACAATAAATAAATATCAACTATGCATAGAAGCACTTTGTGCCATCTCCATATACCGATATTATAATTAGCATAAGATCTCAGTTGATCTCGTTATAATATTGCTGATTTCAAACATTTACCATTTATCTATGATTGCACATTGCATCTAAATGTATATATACATTTATCATAAATCTGCGTAACTCTTACCAATCTCCTTTTCAAGATTTTGGTGCGCAACGCTGCCATTCTTACCACCCTGCAGCACCTTCAATAGACGGATTTTAAAAATCAATGTCGTATCAGGCTGGATGATGTCCATAAAGCCATCAGAACCATAGGCCAAATTGGGGGGAAGGTACACCTCCCACTCCTCACCTTCCACCATGAACTGTAGGGCGTCCGTCCAACCCTTGATGACCTGGTTGGGCGCGAACGTCGCGGGTTTACCTCGCTCCATCGAGGAGTCAAATAGTTTTCCGTTGATAAACGTACCATGGTAGTGTACAGAGCAGCTGTCAGTCAGCGTCGGGGACTTGACGTCGTTAGCGCTTGGAGGTTTGGTGATGATCTTAAATCGCATCCCACTTGGGAGGCAATGCACCTTCGGATTCTGGTCTACCTTTTGTAGGTACTGAGCTCCTTCGGTAGAGGCCATATTCGGTTTAACTGTATGCGGTTTTATTTAGTTATGGTAGATTTGTGAGATGGATAGCTATAAAAAAGGGTGAACAAAATAGAAATTATTGTTCAGGTCAGTGTTATATCTCTTTTTATCCCTCAAGTACGTAAGACAAGAGTGATGCATTTACATGCACCAAAAAATGACCCCATTGAATAAAATTATATCCGACCCTACTGTAAGAACCCTGATTAGAGCGTTCTTGCAGAAGTGGCAAGGAAT